GCCAAGATTTGTGCTGATGGATGTGCATTAAAAAAAAGACCATGTATTGTTCTACAACCACAGTCTAGTATTATTAAACAATGAAAGATGTACAAAGAGCCTTTGGATTAAGCATAATTATTTAAATTATTTGAAATATCCTTAAATAGCTTTTCTCAAAACTTTCTTCCATTTAGGAATTTATGCCATTGCTATCCTTCCTTAAACTCTTGCATTTTTCTTCTTGTCAAAGATTAACTTGAATTAATCCCATTTGCATCTTGACATTCCTTGCATACCAATTAGCCTACAGAAAGTTCTGTTAGTAATACTCATGTAAGGCAGTACTCTTTGGTTATAGACCCACCAATCTATGTTTCACTCTAAAATGTATAGAATGGCAGAATTTCAACACAATCGTAGTCAAATTGAAGATGATGGTGTTCAGCCGCCTCTCACGACCAGGGCTGTATATGAACACAATATGCGTCAGATCTCCTTGAATAATGGCCGGGTTTTCATATGTAAGATTAGGTAATGTTCTTCAATGAAATAAATTTATGGTTGATATTTTTTCACCCCCTCAAACATAAAAGCCATAAACAACCACAACACTTTGAAAATGGAATGGCCTTCTGTGACCCTCAGGCTGAAACTTGAGAGTTTTATGCTGCTGATTCATTCCCATGGAAACAGTCACCAGGAATGAATCTGCTGTCATTATTTTCAAGCACTTACCCTGCTCCCAATGATCTGGTGCTGTGTCCAAGGAAGTCAGAAAGGAAATGAGCATCAGTCTTATGGAATGAACTCAAATAACTGTCAACTGATAGACTGAAAGTTAGATACTTCCCAAGAAATCTGTCTTTTAAAAATATATTTTTGAAAGTTTTATTAATCATGAAAAGAATCTGTTACATAAAAACTCTGGAAGGATGCATGAGAAAACTATGAATAGTTATTCCTAGGGAAAACCAGAAACAGGGCAGATTCAGGGGAAACATTGTAGTTTGCCTTTTAAACTTTCCATTATAGAAATTTTTTAATTTTAATTTTAATTTATTTTTTAAACATCATTTAAAAATTTTTCACAATATAGGATTACTCCCCTCTGATGGGTAAACCAGTTTTCCTACCACCAAAGTGCCCACAGTCCACCATTATATTCCATCCTGATCCTATTACAGAAAATCTTATAAGTAGAGAGAATCCTAGAGTGAGCCCCCCTGTATTCATTATCCAACTTTAATGCTTATTAACTCATGGCAAATCTTGTTTTATCTATATTCTCAACCCCTACTGGATTGTTTGAAGCAAATTCCAGATATACAATTTTATACATAATTATTCAGTAATTATGTTTGTAAGAACATATTAAAGTATATGAACACAATGCTATTGTCACATATTAGCATTTAACAATGACTTAAAATATCACAAAATAGTGTTTAAAAATGTTCTCATTTTTTTCATAAAATTTTTTGCCATTGGTTTCTTTAGATCATGATCCAGGTTAGTACCTAGATGGCATTTGATTACTAACTCTTTTAATCCATAACTTCCTCTCCCTTTGTTTGTTTAGTTTCATTTTGAAATTCTTCTTTTAAGAGATCAGTAGAATTTCTATATCCTAGGTTTCACTGTTTGCTTCCATGGTGTCATTTTATATGTTCTATTGTCCCCAGTGTAACTGTAAACTGAAAGATATAGAGACTTGAGCAGATACACAAGAAGACCGTCTATGTGGTGTTCTATTCTTTTGTCAGGAGATAGAAAACACACAGTGGTTTTTCTTTTTGTGATATTAACAGATTTTTAACATTTCCTCAATTCATTATTTCACTGGGGATCTGAGTTAAGTAAATGAATCATCTATCAAAAATTAATGTAAGAGCTATTAAAAGTTAGGAAAAGTGGTAATTTAGTTGACCTCATTATATATATAAGCAGACTAAAAAATCAAACATGCAAAATGGCCTGAGCAAGCTTGTGTAATTAGCTTTTGTTTTAGGTAACTTTGGAAACATGTTTTGCTCTTGTCATATTCCTTTTGTGTGAGGATTTGATTTGGAATGGAATTGGTGTTTTTATATTATTAAAGTTTTTGAGAACATGGTATAGCTCTACATTCATTTAAATCTATTATATCCTATAGTAAAATGGTTGTAGTGGAAAAAAATATATAGCTCTAACATATTACTTGATAGATTTATTCTTAGATATTCTATATATTCTACTCAGAGTGAATCTTTTAATTCTTTTAACTGAATTTAATGGTATATAATAAAGGTATTGCACTAACTCAGTTCTTAGCTCTCATTGGTCTTACAGAGAGACAACCCTATCATCTCTATATAATAGAGATTTTTTATTTCCTTAAGTATTTATGTCATTTATTTTCTTTTGGCCTAGTTACACTGTTTTTTGATAATAAAGACAGTGGTCATTCTTGAAAGGGGTAAGATTGTGGAAAAATATGGAATGTAAGAACATAAAAACATATGGAGACTTGGTCTTTGATAGGGAAAAATGTAAGACCACTGACAAGAAAGAGAAGAGCATGGTTTCATACCATTCTCAGATGGTCTGAGAGGGCTCCCACATGTAACGAGGGAGCAGCTGTCATTTGCTGAGATGCAGTAATAGATGGGTGGATGACAATGACAGGGAGGGAATGGGCCAAGGAAACATGGTGGGATTTCTTGGGAGTATGGAGGACACAGCTGAGGTCATGAATTTAGTGTGGCGCTAGTGAATGAATATTTTTCCATCACAATTTCTGACTGGTGATCATAGGCATATGGGAAAGCCAATAATATTAAGATACATACATTTCTTTTTTCTGGCTATTATACAGGGCTTTCATTAATTTCAAAAATTTTTATTTTTATCATTATTTTCTTTAATTTTTGACCTATAATCATATCATCAACAGACAATGATAACTTTGTCTCCTGTATTTTCAGTGTTTTCTAAAATTTCATATTTTGTTTTGGCATGAACTCAATATATAATTTTGCATGTCAACATTTATAACATGGATTTCTGCTTTCTGCCTGATTTTGATGGGGTTTTCCATTTTATCCTGAAATGTGAAATTGAGTTCCTTCTTTGATGATTTAATATTGCTCAAATAGTCTTCAATTTTGTATTTCTAATCTTTAAAAAATGAATTGTATTACACTCTATTTTATAGGTATATATCACATGTCCTATAATATGTTTGCTTATTGAATTTAATAAATATGGAAATTCAGGGATAAATTTTAGGGTGGTTGTGTTTGGACATACCGTTGAGTTTAGTTTGTTAATAAATTATTTAAGGTTTTTTGAATATGTCAAAAAGGGATTGCCCTTTCTTTTTGTTTGAATATGAGAACTAAATTAGCTTTACAAAATAAATTATGTAGCTCTCTATATCATTCTTTGGAGCAATTTGTGTAGCATTAACTGTTCCTTCAACATTTGACAAAACTGCATCTGATTTCAGAGCCAGTACTTCCTTTACACCTTTTCTATTTGTCTGTGGTTGGGTGTCGATTTGCTTTTGACTATTTCTTGAGTCAGTTTTAGCAACTCAGTTCTTAAAGACAAGCTTGTATTTCATTGGAACTTTCTAATATTAGCATTGAGTAATACAAACACTCTCCTATCTTTTAAATTGTGTCTGTTTCATCCTCTGTGTCATTCCTACATATATTTATCTATTCTTTGCACTGTTGCTCTTTTTCTCTTAAATCTGAGAGAGCTCTGTCAACACTGTTCTGTTTCCTATGTTGCTTACTTGTTTGTTTACATGTACCTTTCTCATAAGTCCTTTCCTAGCTTTTCTGGTATTTTTCTCTAAAATGTTGAGTTGAATGATTTCTTTTCAATCTGTTTTCATAACTTTGAAACTATGCTTCAATTGTTGTCTAAATAATATTTTGTAGGTATTTGTTTTGATCAAATAATTTTTAAAGAGTGTCATTTGGGGAAATTATGTTTATTGTTATAAAAATTTTGTTTTCATTGTTGATTAAACTTTTAATTTTGTTGTTTTAGTACATAGTAGATAATTTGCCTTTTTAGAAATTATGGAGGTTTTTGGAAGTAGAGTACATGATAATTTTCATAAAATGTGCGTGATATTTGAGAAGAAATTTAAAGAGGTTCAACACTCCAAACATTTGGCATTTTGTTGAATTTTCTTTGAATATCTAACAGTTGTTAGAATATATAATGATACTATATTATGGTTTACAAATTTGTGTAAACAATACAATCTCTTTATTGTGAATTTTATCTTTCATCAACATAAAATAATCCTTTGTCACTTGTTCAAAGCTTTTGTATTGAATTCATTGGTATCTTTATGATCACTGCTTTTTCATTGGTTTGCCAACAGTATATATGCTCAAATTGAATTTCATTTTTGGTAGTATTATTTCTGTCCTTTCAATGTTCTTTTCTTTTATGTGTAGGTGTATCTTTTGTAAGCAAATATAATTGACTTTACTCTCTTAATCTAAGCTGATGGGTCTTGTTATGTTTAAACAGGATATTTTAAACAAATTTATTTTTATTTTAATTTACCTGACTCATCATTTTTAGTCTTAACTGCTATTAAATAATAAAGATGGTATTTTCTAGTATATAATCAAGAATGCCAATTTTCTGATTTTTTTTCTGGTTTTAGGAGTATATTTGCTTCAGAGGTGCAGCCAATAGCACCAGCTGATATATCACAATGAACCTGGGATAAAGTATCATTCCAATTAAGATCTTTGCACAAGGATTTGTGTAAAATAAAAAATTACATTCCAATACATATCCCTTGAAAAACACAGTTGGATAAATAGGTAGATAGAAGGTAGATAGGTAGGTAGATAGGTAGATAGAAGGTAGATAGATATAGACTAGATATCTATTAGCAATACCAGCTTTCCCTGGGAAAGTGTGTTCACATTTAACCCTTTCTCTCCTAGCCTGCTTTGCCCCATCTGGCATCCAGAAACCTGCCCATGGACCATGTGTGAGCAGAGACTGTGTCAGTTGGGAAGGCAGTGTACTCTTCCATACCAAGGCGGAGTGGTGAGACAATTGACTTTATGAAGTTCCTGTGGAACCTGAAAGTTTCCATGCTTTCCCCAAAGAGACCCTCATATAGTGCAATTTTATTGCTTACTACAACACTGACTTAGTCTGTTGGCACTGCTATAACAAAATACTGCAGACTAGGTGGTTTATACACAGTAAACATTTATTTCTGGGGGCTGGGAGACCAAGATCACAGAACCAGCATGGTCAGGTGAGGGTTGCAGACTGCCCACTACTCATTCATCCTCAAAGTCAGAAGGGGCTCAGAGTGCTGTGGGAGGGGATAGAAATGGAATAATTAAATCTGTTGTCTTTTAAGGGACATCATGAATATTGAATCCAAGCCTCTGCACTAATATTCCAGTGACTTTTACTGCATATTAAAGATGAAAGAGAAATGGATTCAGCAGCAGTCCACATTAATTATCTGTGGCCCTTTGGCTCTCTACATAGTGTCAGGAGTTCTGAAATCTTCAAACCATCTGGATATAAAAAGAAAATATAGAAAAAATATAGCAAGTGGGATAATAGCATTTGTCAGTTTCATTTACAGCTGGTTTAGCTTGGCTGAATTAATGAGTACCTATTAGGGAGACTTGCAAGGATCCCTTTACATGTTCTTAAAGAATACCATACAATTAAATATCACTGTGGTAGAATCATAAATAGAAGAAACAAAAAAAAAAATCCTTCAAGTTACTCAGATTGACACTTTTTAAAGAGCAATTACTTTTTTACCAGTCAAGAACATTCCTGGTATCAGACTGTGTGCCTATCATTGCTGAGACATGTTTGTCTTCTCCCTCCATCTGCTAAACTCTCCTAGCATTTCGTTGGTGACTTTCTCGAGGGCACTCCTATTTGCTGACATCATGTGTGTTTTGTTTTTTTTTTTTGCCTATGTCTTACTCCTCCTTTGGATTACGAGCTTTAGCTGGCAGGTTGTGTGCATTTTATAGTTTCATATTCTCCATAGGACCTTGCTGAGTGTTTCACATATTGTAAAATATTCAATAAGAAGTTTTTAATTCCTAAATGCCTCCCCAAGAAAAGAAACAGGGTTGCTACTAGAAGCTTGTAATAGCTAACAGCTAATAACGATAAGCAATATTTATTTTTAAGCACACTCTATGTGCCCGGCACTATGCTGCACACTTTAATACATGTCCTCAGTTAATCATGTTCCCCTCTTAAGAGGATGAGCTTGAGTCTTATAGAGGATAAGTTAATATTAGCTTAATGTCACACAGTCAGACTTAGAATTTAATCACAGGTTTGACTCTAGATTCTGTGATCTTAACCTTTCTTTATCTGATACATTCCTGTGATCTGAAACTTTATACCATACATTCCTATAATTAATGGTTGTTGAAATTTTAGCATTATTACTTTGTCATCATCTCTATAACATCCACTATGCCAGAATTAATTGTTAAAATTGCCAGATGCTCAAAAGCAAAAGATCAAAGATTTGCACTTAAGTAGTTTGGAAGAATGTGGTATTGACTTTAAATTTGCTGTGATTGTGACCTGAAGCATGTTGACATTATTAAAGATATTTAAAGCAGATTCAGATGAAGTGAAATAGTCATCTTGTTTTTTTTCCCTGGGAAAAAACATGGTGCTTAGTGGGGAGAGAAAATTTTATCATGCAAAATTACCAATCATGCAAGTGATCTACAGTTTTTGTGAGTTACTGGGATATTATTATACAGCTTAAGAGAAAAAAAATTGAGCTATTATTACATTCCAGCTTTTCTATTATGCACATTTATTATCTATGATAGTTTAGAAGTAAACATAAACACTTGAAATGTAAGATTTAATGCAATGTTTAAATTGTCTTCAAGGTAAGCAGGGTAAAAAATGGTAAATAATAACATTTAATAAATCTTATAATAGAGGTTCATAGAAAGCATTATAGGAAGAGGTGTCAAAACAATTCTGCCTAATGAGCAAATAAAGATATTTACATAATTAGTGAATAACAGACCTTTAGGGTGTACTGGTACTAGTGTTGAGATGGTAGCACAGAAGTGACAGGGAGAGAGCTTGAATACGGGGTCTAGATGCACCTGTAGGAGGAGATGAAGCAAACAGTCTGGTCAGACCCAGAAGAAGAGAGAAGATGAATTGCAAGGCATAGGTTAATCTGCATCAGGAAGATGTCTTACCAGGTGAAGCAAATACTATAATACAAAGGGTAGCAAAGGGTAGTTGGCAGCAAGGAGCTCTAACACTAGCAATGGGGCCCAGATGCAAGTAGTAGGGTTTAGGGCCAAGGCTCTGGATCTAAGAACCCAAGGAGTTAGGGCAATTTCTCATCTTAAAGGGCCATGGAACTTTGTTCGGGACCTTGGTAATTAGAGCTGGACTTTAGTTTGTTAATATGGAGCAAAGTCAGAGCAAGCATAGTTTTAAAGTTGATTGAATTTTGATATTTCTGGGGAGGAGCATCTCAAATCTCTCTTAAAAGTGAGCAAATAAAGGATTGGCTTTGGAGTCTGAGTAAATGTGGGTGTAGCACAAGGAAGAGCTGTAGATGGAAATAATAAGCCCTTGTTAAGAAAGCAAAGGGGGGCCTCCCCTGGTGGCGCAGCGGTTGCGCGCTGGGCTGCGAGGCTGCCCGCAGCCTCTGCAGCGCCTGCTCGTTCCCCGGCCGCCGGCGAGGGTCCCATAAATAAAATCTTTAAAAAAAAAAAGAAAGCAAAGGGGCTAATATGCTTACAAATTCATTATAGGTAATTTCCTAGGCTCTTCCTTGTCATCCTAGAGCATTAAATGGTAAAGATTTACTTATAACTTTTTCAGTAATGACATTGGTGGAATAATGATATCACTAGTAAGTCATTTGGCAGCCTGGTTTATTACTACTGAGATAATTCTTAGAGTTTCGTATTTTTAGACAATCTCTGTCTTTAATTATGGTGACTTATTCGGAAAAAAAAAAGAGCACTGTACTATGTAATTAATTCATAATTTTAGGTAGTTTGAGAGGGGCTAGCCTGAAATTTATCTTTGATTGATTTGCATTGATTATCATTTACTAGACTGTTGGGCAAGATATCAAGGAAAATATTTAAATGACTTTTGAAAATAATTTTCAAGTACTCTTAAATTGCTTGAAAGTTACCTTTTATATATCTCAGCTTAATTTACAAATAATACAACATAGCATAAAGGGTGGAAAGAGACCTATACATTGGTAATTTTTTTACATGTCACTTGAAGGGGCAAGATAATGATCCTAAGTGGGTTATGAAATGTTAAGTATAATAATTTAAACAATGTGAAGAAATAGACTAGGGCCTCCCTGGTGGTGCAACGGGTTGAGCGCTGCGCTCTGAAGCTAGCTGCAGCCTCTGCAGCACGGGTTCGATTCCTGGCTGGCCACATGGTGTGGCAGACTTCTCCTGTCTCATCTGCTGTTCCCATCAGCAGTGTCTTCAGTCTGTCTGCCTGTTCTGCTACCCACTCTCTCTTGTGAATTCTCTCACCCTCTCGTGAATCTGACCTGTACCCCCGTTCTTGTATAAATAAATAAATATTAAAAAAACCCAAAGAAATATACTAAAGCACAACTGACAAATTAAAATGAAATAAAGAATCCAAAGAAAAGTAGAAAAATGGGAAAGAGATGAATAAAAAAACCTATGAGACAGAAGACAAGAAACAAAATGGCAGACGTAAATACACAGATATCGATAATTGTAGCAAATATCAATGGCATAAATACATCATTAATACACAGAATAATTTTATTTTTAAGTATAACCCACTGTATGCTGACTCCAAGAGACACACTTTGAAAGTAATGATATAGTGGCTATAAAACACATTTTGAATAAAATGATGCATGTGGAAATAAATATACATAATAAAAGAAAAATGTATTCTGCAAGTACCTTATTAATCAGAAGAAAGTTGATGTGAATATGTTGATATCAGACAAGCACATGTGAAAGAAATAAAGAGGGACATAAAATAATTGAAAAATTGTCAGTTCAACAAAAATAAATTCACAACAATTCCAAATATGTGTGCACTTTGGATCAGTTCTTTAAAAGAGATGAAAAAATTACCTGATAGAACTGAAAGGAGAAGTAAACAAATCCATAGTTGCATTTGGAAACTTCAGTATTCGTTTCTCAGTGATTAACAGAACTAGTGAATAGAGAAAATCAGTGAAGATAAAGCAGTATTAAACATCATGAAATGACTAGATTTAATCAATGTTTATAGAACATCCCACCCAATGACCGCAGACTAGCACTCTTTTCAAGTATAAATGGGCCATTCACCAAGACAAACCACTTTCCTAACAAATTAAAAATACTTAATATCATGCAAAGTTTGATCTCTGACCAAAATGGAATCAAACTAGAAATCAATAGCATAAAGATAAAGAAAATTCCAAATACTTGACTATTAAACAAAATACAAATAGTCCAAAGATCAAAGAAAACTAGAAAATATTTTTAATTGAACAAAAATGAAAGTAAAAAATATCAAAATGTGTAGGATTCAGCTGAGAGAAATGTATAATATAAAACACTTATAATATTATAAGAAAGATTAGTTAAAATAATAATCTTAAGATTTATCCTTTATAAACTATTCTGTTATTAGAGGCTAATCAGCAAACATGTAGCCATGACACCAAAAGAATAATCTAAGAGAAAAAATTGATTGCATCTTATAAAAATTTTATACTTCTGTTTATGTTCATACAAAAACCTGTACCTGAATACATCTTATATTCATAATTACCAAAAACTGAAAAAAAGAAACCCCAAAAGAACTTCAACAGGTGAATAGGTAAACTGTAGCTATATCCATGAAATGGAATATTACTCAGTAATGAAAAAAGAACTCTTGATACATGCAATTCCTTAGATGAATTCCAGAGTCATTATGCTCAGTGAATAAAATAGCATCAAAAGTTTTCATACTCTATGAGAACATTTATATGACATTCTAGAAAACATAAAACTATAGCGATAAATAGCATATTAGACATTGCTAGGACTTAGGGTAAAGGGAAAATATGCTTAAATGGATAGCATTATATTTTGGGGATGGGGATCTATTCTCCATCCTGAATGTGGTGGTGTTTGCAAAAAAAAAAAAATCTATGTATGTGTTAAAATTCATAAAACTGTACACCAAAGAAAATACTCAGCTCTATATAATGCCAGTTTAAAAAATAAAAAAGAAATGCATAATAGAGTTAGGGGACTAACATTTTAAAATGTTTTTTCCCTTATACTCCTGGGTCAGAAATAGCTAAAAGTATGAATTTGAGTTTATAGAATTAGTAATTTCTGTAGGCCAGAAAATTACATAAATAATAATAAAAGTAAGTGATGTATGGGAGAAAGTGTTTGCAACATATTTAATGGGGAAAAGATTAACATTTAGGACATACAAAATTTTCTTTATATCAAAAAGAAAAGGCAAAAAGAAACCCAATAGAAAAAAATACACAAAATATCTGATGAGGCAATTCCAAGAAGAAAAAATCCAAATGGCCAGTAAACATACAAAGATGCTGAACTACAATAATAATCTGGAAAACGCACATCAAAACAATGAGCTATATATCACCCATCAGAATGCTCAAATTGAAAAAAATGGATAATGTCAATTTAAGCAAGTATGAAGAAATTGGCTGTTTTGTCCTTTGTGGGTGGAAATGAAAACTGGAGACACTCTTTTGGAAGATAATTTGTCAAATTCAATCAAAAGTTATGTATTTTTTAAAAGATTTATTTATTTATGCAAACAAGAGCTGGGGTGTAGGCCACAGGTGTGGAGGGTGGTGAGAGGATTCACCAGAGATAGAGTGGGGAGCAGAATAGGCAGATCTACTGAAATACACTGCTGAGGGAAGCAGCAGATGAGACAGGAGAGATCTGCTGCACCATGTGGGTGACTTCCCTGGCTGGCCAGGGAATCGAACTCGTGCTGTAGTGGCTGGCATCAAACTCATGCTGCAGTGGCTGGTAATAGCTTGATAGTGCTGTCTTTAACCCCTGAGCCACCAAGGAGGTCCCCTCAATCAAAACTTAAAAGCAAGTCTTTGACCCAATAATTATATTTCTAGGTGTCTTTCTTAAAGAAAAACTTGCTTACATACATAAGATATATTTGTAAGGCAGCATATGTACATTTTGACATTGTATTAATTTAAAAATTTAAACAAGATAAATGTTTATTGATGAGAGGTTCAATTAATTATAGTAATCTGTATTGTGGAATGCTATTCAGCTATTCAGCTGTGAAAAAGTTCGGCTAAATCAGTGTGCATTGACATGGAAATATCTCCTTATAGATTGCAGAATGAAATGACAAAGTAACAAGACAATATGTATAATACAATGGTAAGCAATTTTATTTATGTATGTATATACATACATCTTGGAATTGCCTCATCAGATATATATACATCATACATCCCTTGATGATGTGTTGGTCAGTGAAGAATAACATATACAATGCTGTAGTGAGGGGTTCCTATCTATCTTTGGAGAAGCTCTGAATATATCATCCGGTGGGCAGAAGAAACTAAGTTTCCGAACCACCTTAAGAACCAAACCATTCAGATTGAGTGGGGTGTAATAGACAATTTTCTTGTCCACCCCAAATCAATCAACTCTTCATGTTTCTTAGTGACCCTGGTTTTGTTAAGGATCCTCTATAATCTCCCACATGGCCCCATGATGCTTTGGGAAAGCTGCCTTTCTCTTAGGCCTGATTGGTCTAAGGGTGATCCTCTTTGCCTTTTCAGTGATGGAGAGTAGCCAGGTGACCCAACCAGACCAATAAGGCAAGAGAGAATCCCTACTGGAAGGCCTCTGAGAAAGTCTTTTCTACTTCAGATTCACCAGTTCAGACGTATCTATTTTCCTCTAACAGAGTCAAGTCTGGATTGGTGGCTGAAACTGATGCTACAGTAAATTTGCTCCCAGCACATGGGATAGCAGAGATCAGAGATGAGGTGACTCTGAGTTCAAAATGGAATCAACCGGCCATATGGATCCCACTATTTCAGGTTCTGGTGTCAGGTGAGAGAATGCATTGTTTCTGCAATGTCTGTTTATTGAAGCTATGGGGAAGGAAACACTTCCCCCTGCCCCCCATCTTCTTAGATTATTTCCTGGAGCCCTGCAAGCTGGACTGACAATGATAGATTAACAAGAGAAGAACTAACCTAAATTTACTAATGTGTACATCATACATACAATGGAACTTAGTGATAAGCAACCCAAAGTGGTGGCTGGGACTTGGGCTTAGACAGCATCTTGGCAAAAACTAATAAATTTGTAGAGAAATGACAAGACAAAGAAAAAGAACTTTGAGCTTTTAGGGTCAGCAAATTGTGGGAGGTAAATATATGGAGAAATTGATGGAGGAAAAGGGCTAGTCAGTGAAATTTGTATAGATTTTTTTCTTAGTGCCTTCTCTCTGCGATAAGGTTGTTTATCTCTTTCCTGGGAGGGGCAGTAGTGGTGGTGGGTGGGTGGGGGGACATCCTCACAAGGGGCATTTACAATCTACTTTCAGGCATGGGAGGGGTGGGAGGAAGGAGAGCACATCCTGTAGATGCTTTTTCTCAATTGCCTTCAGCTGAAAATAATCCTTATGCCAGAGTGGCATATTTTTGGGTGGAATCTTTTCGAGGGGGGCATGCTTTTGAACCTCTTCAGAGCACAAAGGAGAATCTTACTTGAGAACTTGCTATCTCTGGGACTATACTACAGGCTTCTACATCAGCTTTCTCCAAAACTCTTCAGCCGTACTGCCCCCCTTCAAACCCAGTCACTGGACCCAAAGATGCCAGGCCACTTTGTAGTGACCATATATTTTCAGACCAAGATAAACTGATCTGAAAAACATGACAACTTTGCAGGTTACATTTTCCAAGATTCAGTTCAGAATTGAAGCTAGGCTTTAATTAGTAAAACAAACCAAAAAAGAAAACAGTTGTATTAAGTCAAAACTGAGGGCGAGGATCTGGCCGTGGCAGCTGACGGTGACTGCACCCCTCTTCTGTGATGACTTCCTTCAGGATTTCTCCAATTGTTGCAATTATCAGCACTGATGCTCAGTGTGCACTTGGGGCTGCTGCTCTTTGGGACTGGAACAATGTGATCTGTATGGATAGCCTTAATATTCGTGCCTCCTTTTCCACTCACTATCCTGAAATTCTTGCTCTAAAGCAGAGTAAGTAATTCAACCATCTCATCAGAGTTTCTAGATCCTTTAAAGGCATCTTTGTCTTGCACATCTTCTTCAGGGTGTTTACTAATATCAGCTTTGCTTTTGGTATTGGGGAACTTTCCTCTGGCTCTTCAGTTCACATTTTCTTGTGTTAAATCTTTAGATTACAAACAAGCAGGGTAAGGGCATCAAGGCTGATGTAGCAGAGAAACCGAAGATAGTGATATTTGCCGTCTTTTTGCAATTTAATATTTTCTTCTTTTTGATTATGAAATGATTCCACATATTCTTTATCATGGAAACTAAGGCAAATAGAGAAAACTGAAAAGAAGAAAATAAATATTTCATATCCATAAATAACTACTGTTAACATTTGCGTTTGTATATATACTTTGATTTTTTTTCACACAACTATGGTTTTGTTTGTCTTAATGAAATGAAAATCTACCCGCTGCTTTATAAGATGTTTTCTTTTCTTAGTCTATTACATCACAATCATTGCACATCTGGTTAGGAGGTGTCCCATTGCATGGAAGTAACAGTGCATTTACCCTCTTCTGTGCTTTTCAAAATTTAGGTTGGTTCTAAAGTGAAAGGAATGAGAGAGGGAGTTTAGTCTTCCAGTGTTAAATTTGAATATCCCTAAATGCAAACAGTAAATTGTAACTGCTTCTCAGAAATGAAGTACCCAAGGAACCAATAACCTACATTTATTTCTCTGCACACTCTCTCTGGTAGTATATCACAGCAGCCGCCCTTCCAGAGCAAGCAGGCGGGACCCAGAGGCAGATCTGTGGACCTGGAACTCTAATTTTACATTTCAAAGTTAATACCAGTATCCATGTCACTGTGTGGAGCAGGGCTTTAAGGCAATCTCCTACTAGCTTGTTCAATAGAATTGAAAACCCAATATTTTTTTAGAGGCTCACCATGAAGATTAGATTGGCATTCCCAAATGTGGGAAACATTTCAAGGCATGTATCAGCCATGGTAGCTTATTGTGCTGGTTCATTAGCAAAATCTCTTGTGTCCTCCCTGCAACTGTAACAATGATGATGCATATTACTATAGTCCTTTACAAAAGCAATTTTACCTCTCTGATCTGATGACCACCACAGTATTTTAAGATAAATAGGCAGGTGTATGGAGGGGGAAAGAAATCTGCCCACCAGCTCCTGCTCAGTTCACCTTCAAATTCCATACTAGCTGTGTTGTACTTACTGGTAATCAGGGTAACTGTGCTTAAAAAGATATCAGGATTACAGGATCTTCCCTCTTTGACCTTTTGCATCCAGCCTTGTGTGACAAACTTGCCTACTGCTGCATTTTGGAAGCTGGCTGACCATTTCTCTGGTTTTATTTTTTTCTTCATGTATAAATACTGAATGTTCTGGTCTCCAGAGACTGGTTGACAGTGAGATTTGTCCTTGGAGCAGAGGGAGAAGACCTATTAAACTTAATTGAGCTTAAGCAATATGCCGCAGTGCAGATTCCTACAGGATGCAAGCGCTAGCCCAATTAATGATAAAATGGGCTCTCTTCCCTGTGCAACAATGATTTGTGTGTCTGTAGATCTTCATCTCCCAAACTCACTGAAGAGTAGTGATTTATACTTATATTAGAGAGAAGCTGTGACTCACCCAAGGTGACTTGACTGGTATTAACAGAGCTTGAGCTTGTTCTTGTTTTCAGTTAGCACACCAGATTTCCAGCACTTTCTCTAAAAAAGGTCCAGATTTGACTCATTCCTCCTGTCGATAGCCAGCCATGGGTGGCGCTCCTCCTGTGCAGCTTCCCCCATAACTCACTAGATTGACCTCCCTATTGCTACTCCTCTCCTATGTTGGGGACAGCAAATAAGGTGATGATAGCTCCCTTTTTCCCAGAGTAGGAAATTTCAGTAACTATTGTTCAGCCTCTGTGTTCAGGGTTGTTAGAGATAGGGGTAGTTTTCAGCAGCCTTAGGAAAGTATCAGAATGAACATATTTTAAAAACCTTGTTCCAGAACAACTATCCTGTATTCTCTTAAGCACAGTCTTCTTTTCTTTCCTTGCATGACTTATTCTGCTTTATTTATCACTGAGACAAAAGTTTTTTTTTAATACCTACTGAATATGTTCTAAATACCACGGAAATAGATGGCCTATGGGTAGTATACAAACTCAACTTTCACCTTTCTGCTATTTAACTTGAGAACCTGGCTTATATATTTTATTGATTTCAAATTACTTCCTAACAGACTGTAGGAAAAGTTCTCTATGTCAATCAAAGGTAGCAACCAATTTTCATTGAATGATCATACAATTCAGTGTTTCTTACTTGCTTTCAGTCTCATCACAAATAGTAAGCTTTCTTTTTCTTTTGCCAAGAAAAATGGCCTTATATTTATAATAAAAACAAAATGTATGTGTTGCAATACAGGTTTCAAAAGCCAAAGCTGAAATATGCTTTCTTCTCTTGGTAATATTACTTTTTTTAAACCTCTATCTATAATTTAAAAAATTCACATGATATAGCTCTCTGACTCATGACAAGAATAATAGAAGTGGAAAACTGCCATTTTCTCAGAAATATCCCATTCTTCTCATAATCATATAGAAAACCATTTGACTTTTATTACTAAGGTTTCCAAAAACTTCCATGCACGCCCTTCCACGTGACTGTAGAGGGTCCTCATTGCCTTTTGGTTAGTGAACTCAGGTTGATATCATTATCAAAGGCATGTGGGCAACGAAATCCATATTTGTGACCCCACGAATAATCCCTCCAGTTATGTGAAGTTTCCATTCAGATTTCCTTTTTCCTAAATCCTTGACTTGTGTGATGCAAAATCTCTGTGGTATTTTCAGTGTTTGTATGTTTAGCACTGAAGGGTAAAGATCTGAAGGAAAAGCTGCAGTCAATGGCCTTGGGACACGTGAAAATACCCTAGCCAGGTGAAGCACGCATGCGGAAATCACAGCACTTCACATTTAGTGGTTCGAATTCATCAGCATTTTGATTTCTGAACAAGGCCTATGTGGAATCATAAAGAAAGAATTAAGCTGATACCTAAGCAGTTACTCTGTTTTCTTATCACTTTTTCATTGTGCATCCTGGTAATGGATGAGTTTTCAAGAGGCTCTTGATGTAAATTGCATTGCATTTTTACAATCAGTGAGGAGAGACATTAAAGGATGTCCCCAACTATCCTGGACCCTTATCCTAAGATATTATTCTAGGATAACAAGGAAGGAAGGGGATTACCTTTTTTAAGATCTCTAAAAGCTGATACAATCTAGAAAATTCCCTTAACACTGAGGTCCTTCCCAACCTCAAGAGAAGGGTCAACGAACAGGGGACATGGCATTGTGGGTGGGAGAAGCAGGTCTCTGTAGCCGAAAAAACACACTTTTAGGGGCCTTAGCCCCTGATGAGGTGGCCTATATCAGTTCCTAATTATCAGCAGAGGCAAGTCACTACAAGGAAGGTTGGGGCTCTAGTAACCACCTTAAAGATGTGGCATGGGATTAAATGCCACTATAATTGTCACCCTTGCTTCTCAGATCCAAAATAAAAGGCACAGCTCCATTCTGGAAGGGTTTGAAACCAGTATTTGAAGGATCAGCCTTACATCAGACATCTTGGTGGGTGCTCTCATTTAAGAACAGCTGAACTTGGGTAGTGTTATGGGCGAATTGTGTTCTCCAAAAAAGATATATTAAAGTCCTAATTCACAGGTGCCTCAGAATATGACTTGACTTGGAAGTAGGGTTTTTCCAGGGTTAATTCAATTCCTAAGAGGTTAATAAGGTGGGCCCTTATTTAGTACGGTGGTGTCCTTATAAAAGGGGGAAATGTGAACATACACCATGTACACCGTGAAGGTGAAAGCAGAGGTAACTGAGATGCATCTGCACACCAAGGAACACCAAAGATTGCCAGCAGCCCATCAGGAACTGGGGGAGAAGCATGGAACATGTTCTCATCACAGCCCTCAGATGGAACCAAACCCACTGAGGCACGTTGATCTTGGATTTCTAATTACCAGACTGTGAGACAATAAATTTCTGTTTTTCTAGTCATCCAGTTTATGGCACTTTGTTTCAGCTACTCTGATAAACTAATACAAGTGTAAACTAATCAGAAAAATAATTCAATCCTGAAGAAGACCAGTTACTGGAGAGATTTCTGTTTTCTGGCATTGTACAATTGATGGGTGGCACTGGGAAGATAAGGCTTCAAGCCATTTTCAGAGTCATAATCACAGTAATTACACCTTGTTCAAATAGCATACCAAAGGCCAGCCTGGGAGCACAGGCATCTGTAGTGAGAGTAATAAGAGTGTGTTCCCTCCGTTGAACCCGCAGCCTTGTCTTTCCATGGTGCCTGCCCCTCCGTCCCTTACTCATCTCTACAGCTTTTCTCTCCTTCCAAAGGTTACATCTGCTTTATAGATGACAGTGTTTACTTAGCTGGCTTCCTGGGTTGGAGTAATGGAAGAGAAAGAGAAATTATTGTAATTTTTCAGTCTTAAACTAAATCTTATATTACTGTCATAACCTTAGCAAACATTTTTTCTATGATAGTGTTATGAGGAATTTCAACCATTGGGCATCAGCTACAATTGTCTCCCCACTCCACTACCTTCTTTGTTTCTTTTGTTCTGTTTTGAGTGTTCTAACCTCTGCTGGAGACAAACTGAGCTGCTGAGTCATTAGGATGGACACTCAGTCCAAAGGTATCTGTTTTTAGTGGAATGGTTCTTTGGATAATCTGTTTTCATCACATCAAGGGCTAAGCCAGTCAGTTAACATAGAGGAAATATTAAAGGCAATCTTTTTTCATTAAGGTAAGGCACTTAGATAACCCATATGCTATTTTTTTCATTTAACCACTAAAGTGAAAGCAGTCAACAGCGTCTTATTGAGGAAGAAATAGGAAGAAAATTGATTTTAAAACAAACAGATGCTGCTGATATTATATCTAGGAGACTGGGAATCTGGTCCACTTTAGTCTCTTATCTTTTTCACCTTCTGCTGAAGTACCACCCACTTTTTTTCCCATTCATTTCAGACTGTCTCCCAATATACCATCTGTCTGCCTCATCTGAGAGAGCTTACAAAGAAGAAACTAGGGTAGCATAAAGGAGGCAAATTATGCTGAAGAGTTGTACTGGTGAGCAGACACTCCTCACCCTTTTGCTTTGTCACTCTGCACTGTCTTGATTTCCAGCATCTCTAACCCCCAACACACCTTAGCCCCAATTCTGTTTACAGATGTAAATAAGCCCACACAGCCAGAGACAGCCAACTCAGAAGAATGATCTATACAATTCCAAAGACATAAACTTCATATTACAAACCCAACTTAACATGACTGGAGCTTTTCACTGCACTGCAGAGAAAAATAAGTAATTCTGTGCACACAAAGGTCACAAAATTGTCAGGGACTGCAAGAATTTCTCAATTCTCAGGCATTTAGACTTTTCCTCCTACTTATTTCAGGGTGCAGGAGAAGAGTGAGAATTACCATAAGAGCCCTAGACCATCCCACAAATGTGGCAGCCAGGCTGTGTTAGAAATTTTTAGTCATTTTAATTCCTACATTTTGGTGATCTCAGTACCTGCATCACTCACCTGTTTCTCTGTCCTCATTTTCATTCACCCCCATCCTTATCTAAACAGAAGTTTTCGTGACTTAATTCCATTTGATTGTTGCCAAATTAATTCCTCTTGACTTGGAAATCTCTGTTTATATATTTCCTCAACAGAATAATTTGCCCTATTATCCTAACCATGACGGATTGCATTCCTTTGCCATTCACAATCCCTCTCTGCCACGCCTTTTGGCAAGGCTCTCCACATGCTTCTTCCCTCCTACAAAACTCATCTGTCTGTAAATCCAGCCATAAATAAGTAAAGGAAAGAACCTTTTCTTAAATGTCTAATGTCTGGAATCATGCCTCAGAGCCACATTTACATTTCCAATCATGACATAGCATTGAATATTCATCCTTAGTTATTCATCAGCTATCAATACAGGCTTTTGAAGTCCTGTTGGGGTCTAGACTCTGGTTCCTTCTATCCAGCGGTGATGGGGACTTACATGTCCTTGAATTACTCTGTACCTACTTTCACAGATTCCATTCTCTGCTTTTTCATCTAATCTTTAATTTATGCAGATCAAATTGCCTTGTCACAAACATCTTTTAAAAATATTACTTCTTTGCTTCTTTTTTGGTTTTGTTTTGTTATACTTTGGACATTTGATCAATGCTTTAAAAAAATCTCCTTTCTTAGGGTTTCTTATAATTGCATCAAATTGTATCAGGCTTGGGAGACAGAATTTCTCAATCTCCATGATTTATCTGTGAAATGTCCCCGAGTAGAGGAATCCATTATGATCCTGAACCAGTATATTGCAGTAAAGAGCACATAGGGATACATTTAGCAAACTAATAATGACAATTATAGAAACAAAGAGAGGAGCTGGGAGAGCCATCCCCTGGGGCTGGGAATAATTGAAAGAGGGAAGTCACCAGAACAGACAGGTTAGCCCTTCCCAGCCCCCAACTTTTATCTTAGCCAAATCTCTGCTTTGTGACAGTAAATCAAGGCATCAAAGGGCAAGAATGGGGTTGTTTTTGCAAGAATGTCTTGTTTTTGGTTGAAAAATAAAGAAAACCCGCTACCAGGTTCGGTGCAGCTCATTCTTCGGGGAAGTGCCTGCGTAACATTTAGATATCTTTTTAAATCTATACACGCTCTTCCTACCTGCTGTGCTCAATTTCAGACCCAGTGCTGTCATTAAGGAAAAATAGCAACCTTTGTTCTCTCCTCCAGGCACAACATGTTGCACTGGTTTTTTGTTTCCAGGAAAAAAAATTCTCCATTATTTTCTTAGACTAAGAAAGCCAGATGAAGCCTTCATGCCTCTTGTTCTTTTTGTGCTTGGATCCTAGACACAACAGTTCCGTGGTTCACTGGGCAAGGTTTCCCTTTCTGTATTTTAAAGCCCCTCGTGAAGACATCAGGCCACTTACTGTAACGGATGGTTTTCATTCTCTGTGTAATAAAGGCACATTCTGGAGGCAGACATTACAGTCAGAGATGGCAAACATCAGAAATTTCAAAGGCGTGGCCCATGGGTACATCCAGACTTTCAAAGCTGGGTGGCGTCCCTGGGATTTGAAAACTGGATTGGAAATTTGAGTTATATATTTCATTCTTCCTGATTTAGCCTGCCTTTTATACACCCCAGTTTTTAGTCTTCAAATATATCAGAGACACTAGAATTATGGGGAAAGTATATACACAAATAAGAAATTTAAAATCAAGATGTGTAAAGTTATTGAGGTGTGATAAGCATTCTGGTGGTGGAATGTAAAACTTACCTTGTTTTGTGTGGCGGTCAAGGTAGGTATAATCGAGACTCTTAGCTACAAGAGAAATGATACAGGTTTCATCTGCCTGCAAACTAAATGCTGGGCTGAAAAGCAGGTGAGAGTTCACTGTGAGACTCAGCTATTTGCCTCCCACTCTCTCCTCCCATCCCTTGCCCTCCCCTTGCTACCTACTTCCTTCCCTCCTTACTTTCTTCTTGCACTATGGAAGTGTTCTCTCTCCTCTGATGTTTCTTTTCAAGAAACTTCTACTATTATTTACTAGAGCTCACCTCCTGATCTTATTCTTCCCTCCAGCTGCCACCCAATCACCCCAGTCTTGGCTGCCTGAGTCTGTACCATTTCTATTTCCTTACCTCCCATAATATAGTGTTCCTTTTACCAAAATAATGCTTCTTTTTTGGTCCTTATGATTTATATCTGCTTTAAATTCTGTTGTCACATTTTAAAGTTGCTAGCTTTTATAATTGCTTGCTATAGCATATTTTTTTTTTTTGATTTTCAACTTTGCTATATTTTGTAAAAGTATGACTTATAGGTAACGTATTACTGGATCTTATTTTCAAAATCCATTCTGAGATTCTGTGTCTTGAGAATGAGTTTAACACATTCTTGCTTATTTTCATTGTCATTTATTTATTTATTTAAAGATTTGTTTTTATTCACACAAGAACTGGGGTGTAGGCCAGAGGTGCGAGGTGGGGGGGTGGTAAAAGGATTCACCAGAGACAGAGTGGGGAGCATAACAGGCAGATCTACTGAAATACACTGCTGAGGGAGCTGCGGGCGAGATAGGAGAGGTCTGCTGTGCCATGTGGGTCAGCAACCTGGCCTGGGATCAAACTCATGCTGCAGTGGCTGGTGATTGCTTGATAGTGCTGAGACTTTAACCCCTGCACCATGAGGGAAGCCCTTTATTTATTATTTACATTACATTATTTCTAGGATTTACTTCTTATTTTAGGTTTACTCTATTTTTCGTCTCCTTCCCTGAAACCTTCCATTGGATATTTCAACTTGTATTTTTATATACTTGTTGACTGAAAGGTAATAATCACTGTTGTGATGAGAAAAGGTGAATAAAGGAATTTTATTTTTTCAGAGACAAAGATGAGGGCCAGGTGGTCAATCAGATCAGCAGAGAGTTCTGGTCAACTGTTCTCCACCCAGCCCTCAAGGTAGGTTCCAGCTTGTATACAATTGTCTGACTGATTATAATAGAAAAATTACATTAATGTCCCAAGTATTTGTTTCAGAAACCAGCATACAGTAATCGTAACATCTCTGTAAAGGGGTGTGTTGTTTACCTTCAGAAGATTGCTGTCTCTGTGTACAGATGCAATCGGTGTGTGAGAAAAGGAAGTACTAGAAGACAAAAGTTCTTACACGAAAGGATTTGCGTGTGTGTGCGCACGCGTGTTCCTATCAGTCTGGTCTGGTTTCTTCTGGTAGCGGCATCGAAGGGCAAAGACTTGGAATAATGGTGGATAAAACCCACAGGGTTGCTTCACAGCAAATATCTTTTATGGTGATATTTTTCATAGCTTTGTTGTGACTGATTTAAAACCTCAGCAAACTTTCTTCTTTGTGCCCAGAGCTTGAGGGGCTTTCTCTTTAATATATATATTTTTTAAAGATTTATTTATTTATTTATACAAGCACTGGGTACAGTCAGAAGCGTGGGAGGGTGAAAAATTCACCAGAGCCAGAGGGGAGAGCAGAGCAGGCAGACTGATGAAATACACTGCTGAGGGGAGCAGTGGGCATGGCAGGAGAGGTCTGCGCGCCATGTGGGACCCTTGCCGGCGGCCAGGGATCCAACCCGCGCTACAGAAGCTGCAGGCAGCTTCGCAGCCCAGCGCTCAACCGCTGTGCCACCAGGGGAGGCCCTCTCTTTAATATTTTTAAGTTTAAAAAGGAAACATTTGTTTTTGTCATTCTGCTGTTTGTACATAATGACTTAAGATTTATATTTACACATACTTAATAAATTAATTTCTTAACTCTATCAGTTAATTGATCTGTCCTCTCTCCATCCAAGCAGACAAGGGCTTTAGAACATGAGCATCTTCTTTGGTGTCTCATCAACCCTTTTCTCAGATGTAATCTGGGTTGACAGGCAAGTCTTTTTTCTTTCTTTTTTGTTTTACTTATTAATTTGTCTGTTTTGGTCCTAGGTTTTTTCAAACAGTACATTTTCTTAGTTACTTGATCCCTTTACATTCCTATCTTTTGTAGCATTTTCCTAGATTTGTTTCTCTTCTCTTTGAATTATTTCCTCAGAGAGTGTTTTGCAAAGGGTCTTTTCATGTGGCAACTTTTAAATCATACAATGGCTTACTTTTATCCTTGCATTTATTTATTTATATACTTTTCCACTTAAAAATTAATTTTATGGAACATTCAATGGGGTCATATTAGAGAGGATGAATAACAAAACAATGAATATCTGACTTACATTACCAATTTTAAGCTATTCATTTTTCTTGTATTGCATTATTTAATAATTCTACATTCATAGAAATTCATTTGCCTTCAAAGAGAATGAAGATAGGCAATCAAAGTTTGCTTAAACTAGTTACAACAGTTGATAATGCCACAGAGGCTTGATTTCCTCATTCAATTACTGGCAGCAAGCATTTATTCCTCAGTATTTAACCTGCAAAAATAAAACTGTCATCTCAATGTAATTTGAGTTAATTGTAAATGTATCTTAGCTTTTTAAGTCTCCAGATTAAGTAGGAATAGACTGACACATCTGAATAAGATCAAGCACATTTCCTTTAAACATATCCCTGCATTTAAATGATAGACTGGATATTAATTCTAGTTCAAAGTTCTTTCTCATCAATTTTTTAAAAAATATTAGTCTACTGTCCTTTGGCATTCAGTGTTGTAGAGAAGTCAAATGTCAACCTGATTCTTGTTCGTTCAGAAGTGATACACTCTTTCTGGAAGCTTTTCGATGTTACTAAATTTCACTCTAAAGTTAGATTATCAAATGTCATCATGATGAATTTGGTATGAGTGTGTCTTATCCTGTTTGGCCCTCTAGGACCTTTCCAATTTGAGACTCTTCATCTTATTTCTGAGAGGTTTGTCACTGTCTCTTTTCTTTCCTTTGTATTTTTCTTTCTTCTGCCTCCATTTAAGGAACCCTTATTTGGCTATCATTCAAGATAGATTCTACTTCTATCTTCTATATCTCTTAACTGAAAAAAAATTTTACCCTTTCCCCCTCCCTGCTGATTTGTAGGGTCACTTCTTCAACTTGGTAATTTTGTACCAATTATAATCATAATACTGTTTAGCCCATCTGTTGTCTTCTTTGTCTCACCTATTAACATTTTTTGTACACAATATAGTCATGTCTATCTTGATGACTTCTTGTTACACATTTTTCTTACTAATATCCTTCCTTGTCTTTTTGAGGATAAAGCTTATGTTTAATGTAAATCCTTGATACTCCTATTTTGGTATTTCTGTTTAGTGTGGAAGAATTTGATCAGCCTATTGTTTTCTTTTATATTGGCTATAATACTCCAGCATTTAATTATTTTGTTTCATGAATGCATATTCTTATAGTAACATCATCTAATCCTTCAGGTATTGTGGCTCAGTTTATGTCACTGCTGGTGCAGTACAAATCGTAACCTATATTAGGAAGATTAAGAAGTTTAAGGAGGAAGGAAAAGATTTGTTCTTGGAGAGTTTCATGTACCTGGCATTTCTAGTAAATATTTTCTTATTCTGAGAGCATGTCTTTCGTAGACTTTCTTAATCCCATCGAGGATGCACATTAGGAGGGGACAATCTCCCTTTGTTTAATCTGTTAGCTTTGGGGTATGGAGGAACAAGTAATCGGTATGCTATTGCCCTACAGAAAACTTTTTCAGTCAGCTCATGTGAATCAGGTTGACCTCGGCTACTGCTCATCAACACCAGCACTAAATTAATTGGTCTGCTGCTGCTACTACTATCAATGCTACTGCCACTCTCACTGCTACTGCCTCTCTCTTAAGAATGATGGAACTGAGCCACGTGGAGCACAGAAAAGTGTAGAACTCAAAAGTTCACCCTCAGTCTGTGTTCTTATCCACATCTCTGCCCAGGTTGACATTTCTTCCACACTTGTGGTTCTTATTGCTTTCTGAACCTCAGGGCTTTCTCATTTATTTATGGTAATTTATAGCATCCTCTGAGATACCCTTCCATTTTTTTTGCTGTATGTTTCCATAACACTCATCCCCGTGTCCTTAGGTACTTCCATCAGCATAAAGTGGGTGTTCCACAATGCTTGGCAAGTAAATGAAATGTATACATTTACATCAGCTGGTATGGCTATGGGAGGAGATTTGGTAATCCTTGGGGTGAGCCATATGGCATTGCTGACCTACTCCAAACCATAATTGTTATTTGGTTCTGCAGATGAGGAAGATGAAGCATTGTTAAATCTTCATGCTATAGAAGACATTGAAATTTATAATTACTGCATTATTTTCAATTAAAAATAAAAATTCAAATAATTATTCATATCCCACATGTACTTTTCTTTTAACTCTTGCAGTTTTTGCTTCTTGTATTTTTGAACTCTCTTATTGGCACATATATACTTAAGGTTCTTAAGTATTCATGGTAGATTGATCCTTTTATTATTATGTAATGTTCTTCTTTGTCCCTACTAATTTCTTTCACTCTGAGGTGCACTTTAAGTGATATTAACACAATCATCCCTACTTTTTTATTGCTAATGCTTACATCATACATCTTTTTCTATTATTTTAATTTCAAATAACTATGCTGTTAGTTTGATGGAGTTTCATACATACAGCATATAGTTGGGTATTTAAAAAATATACTCTGCCAATTTTTGTTTCTATTGGTGTATTAAACCACTTAAACTTAATGTAAGTACCGATATGGCTTAAGTATGCCATTTTATTTCTTTCTTGTCCTTTCTTCATTCTGTTTCTTGTCCCTCTGTTTCCATTTCTTTTTCTTCTTGAGGATTACTTGAAATTTTTTTAATAACATTTTGATCTGTAGTGCTTTTGATCATATCTTGTAATTTTTTTAATAGGTTGCTCTAGGTGTTACAGTATACAGTTGAGTAGTATTAGTATTTTACTACTCTAAGTGAAGTATAAGCATCTTAATTTCATTAGACTTCTTTATCCTCTCCACTTAAAAATATATATCTTAAGTATTTCTTGTATCTGTGTTAAGCCCTATATCAGATGATGCTATAATTTTTGCTTCAAATATTACAAATAATTCTAATAACTTATGAGAAGAAGAATAACTTACTATTTTTACACTTATTTTGCCATTCCATTGTTCTCTCTCACTCCTAAAGTCCCAGTCTCTATTATTTACTTTCTGCTTAGAGAAATTTCTTTAGCCACTCTTCATGGTAAGTCTGCTGGCAATACATTCTCATTTGACAGTGTCTTGATATTTTTGCTAGGTATAGAATTCAAGTTTAATTGTTTCAATTCTCGAAAAATGCTGTGCCACCTCTTTCTGGAGGAAAGCAGAGTACTGAATATCATTTTCTCTTTCCATCTTGTTTATGCATGGTGGGGATTCAGATCCCCATTGTGCCTGAAAGAGCAGTAGAGTATCAATTACCCCACTTCATGCTATCTCAGTCTACTTCAAAGATGCCAGATGGGAGTAGAGGCTCAATCATCCATGGGCCCTGCTGATACTACCTTGGTGTAAAATTAGAGCACCACCTGCTTCCACCAGATAACCATGGTATTTTTTCTATGTCATCTCCTTGCCTACCTGGCTGCCTTAAGTTCATTTTGCTGAATATCAGTGCATCTACCTGGAAGTATAAGAAGAAGAAAAATACTTCATAAGTTTAATTAGGAAAGATTGAACCAAATAGATAAACTACAATAAACAAACTCTTTTTGTTTCCCTTTCAGACTTAGATCCAGGAAAAATGGCTAATTTTGACCTCAATGTGGCTTTCTAATTCCTTTAAAGTTCTCCTTTATCTTGCGATAGGACACTCAAACTGCCTTTTGGGTACTCCAGACATTTATTTCTCCAAAGGGCTTCTTTAAATTCAGCTACTCTTCTTATTACAAGTTTTTCTATATTGTTGATTTCTAAGACCATATCATGCATTAATAT